TAAACTGCTTAGAGAGGCCTGAAAGGCCTATGAAGCGGTATATAAGTCTACTGCTATTGCTATTGCTATTTGTTCTTTGTAAGAATTTGTTCTTTCTGTGTAAGAATTTTTAGCACATATATGGCAATGGAATTTGGTCTAGAGCAATGATGGCTAACCTTTTTGTCATTGTGTGGCGAAAGCGCATGTGTGAAAGTGCATGCATGTGTGCCCACACCCATAATGCAATGTGCATGCAACAACAACAACAACACCCCTGTGATGCCGATCCCCCTGCGCATGTGTGCGCAACCCCCTCCCTGTCCCCTTTTTTGCTTAGCAGGCCTCCCTGAAGCCTCCTGGGATGCCTATGTGTGGTGGAACTGAACTAGGGTGACAACATGGGTTTAGAGAAATGTGCTGTAGAAGCAATAAATTGGGATAAAATCCACAAACAGTAATGGAATTGAAATGCTGAATAGTGAAACCATCAGGATGACACCTATAAGTATCTGGATACTTTGCAGTTGGATAATATCAACCGTAGAAAAGTTAAAATTAAAACGTGATTAGCAAAAGATACATCCAAAGAGTGAGAAAAGTGCCAAAGGCAAAATTGAATATTGGAAACATCATCAAAGTCAATACCTGGGCCATACCTTTGAAATGATACACTGCTGCAACAGGGCATAAGCTGAATTGGAGAGTTTGGACCAGAAAACAAAGCTAATGAAAATGATTATGCATTACATTGGCTGATTACACAATAGACAGCCAAGAACAAGCAGTGATGCAAGTTAAAAGTTGCAACTTATTAAAGGTCCCGGAAACAAAACAGGACTATTGAAATGTGTAATAAAATCTGAATAGAATGCTGGCAAGGTAAATCATCAAATGGTCAATTTCTATAAAAGATTGTGAGGAGGAATGTGGATAAAGATAAACCTTTTACAAATGAAATATTAAAAATGAAACTGAAGTCTTGAATTTAGTTGCTCAAAAGTAAGCTAGTCAAACTTATTCAACCAAGGTCAGAATTTAAAAAAAATCAAATGATTCAAAGCGCAGATTGTGCAAAGAAACAGATGAAACAATAGTTTATATATTCAACTTGCGCAAGAAGATTACACAAAAAGTTTATAAACAACAACATAACACAGTCACCAAATGATTCAGTGGAACATATGTAAAATCAACATGTGCCAAAATTGATGGGAACATGTAGTAGAAACAGTAGTAAAATATGAGCAGGTTAAGCTATTGTGGGATTTCCAAATACAGATTGATAGCTTGATAAAATTTCAATTCCAGAGGAATAATGGGTCCTGGATTTTTATGCATTCTTTAATTTAGGACATTTTAGATATCTATATTCAAAAACTGTGCTGTAATTCAAAAACTGTCATTTGGGCTAATTTGGGGGTACAAACAGATAAACATAATGAGAGTTTTAGTAGCATACAGGTAATAATAATAAATGTAAAAGGACTGCTTATTATATTTGTAAATACCAGGACAATTATGCAATTAATCATGATGTCTCCTTATTTCTTACCAATTCCTTCTGAGTATCAATCACTGCCAAGGATGCATTAAATAAGGAACAGGTCTTTAAACTCATAAACCAATCCTTTTCTTCTCTTGCTATATAGAAATATTTTCCCTTGTATGTAATCCAGGGATCCATGCAGGATACCTTTTGGCTTGCAAGGTAAAGAGAAGACTGGCATTGATTTCTACCTGGAAGCAAAACAAAATAGACAAAAATAGAACTCACAATTAACTACAATTCTGACAACAAAGTTTGAATAATGAATATTCAACACTTACATGGAATTGCATAGTATTTTAAGGAAACCAAGTGAGTTAACAGGTTCAAGCTGTGACCTTAATCATTTCATTGGAACCCTCCATGGCTGCCTAATCAGTTTCATATTAAAGCTTTTTGTTTTCCTCTTAAGTGGCTTTAGCTACCATGCCAGGGAAAAAGCCAGCTCTAGAGCATTCTGTGTGATGGCTATTCCCTATTTAATGTCTGCTTACCCTCTCATAATCACTTCCTTTCCAATTAATGTAAATGCAAACATTAATTTTCTTCTTGCTAATTATCCCAGCACTGCAGTGAACATTCCAATGGGAGGGGAAATGGGGAAACAGAGAGGGGGCCAGAGCCGAATGCTAGGGGATATAAAATACATGATAAAATGAATTACGGAATAGATGGTTGCTGAATGCAGTAAGAATTGTTTATGATGGGAGTGAAACATTTATGAGACATTTTTGTGAATGGTTCAACGTGGAATAAGATAAAGATGTGAGCCAAATGTATTATGGATAAATGTAAAAGAAGTTTTGTGGTGATTTTAGAGTAAGTGTTATATATTGTATATAATGTATAGTTGTCAGTTGAAGTTCTCAGTCTGGTCCTCTGTTGGAGCGGGAAAATACTCTCTCCTGATTGGTTGTTTGGCTGACCAGTTTCCTATAAAAGGAGCNAGAACAACAATCAGTGGAACAACTTGCCTCCAGAAGTTGTGAATGCTCCAACACTGGAAGTCTTTATGAAGACGCTGGGATAGCCATTTGTCTGAAACGGTATAGAGTTTCCTGCCTAGGCAGGGGGTTGGACTAGAAGACCTCCAAGGTCCCTTCCAACTCTTCTATTATTTCTGGCAAGGAACAAATCAGTTTCCTGCACCTTTTTTACTTTTAGAGGTTGTAAATATTTTCTCATCAAATCAGAAAGAGGGATTTGAGCAGCATGCCACAATACTTAAATCAAGTCCTCAGTCTTTTATTTTATTTTTAAAAAATAATGACTTGGAAAAAACAGAGTGCTGAGCTCCCCTTCTTTTTGGGAATGTTGAGAGATATAAGCCTCTTCTTCCCTTTCTGTCACATATCTCAGTGCCCTCTAGGACCATGGTGGCAAACCTATGGCATGCGTGCCACATGTGGCATGCAGAGCCCTCTCTGCGGGCACGTGAGCCATTACCCCAACTCAGCTGCACCACGCATGCACATGCGTCTCCCGCTGGCCAGCTGATTTTCGGGTCTCTGCCACACATGCATGGGGGGGCAGGGGGCATGCGGGAGACACATGCATATGCACGAGGGGGTCACACACACATGCGTGGGGGAAGCATGGAGGGGTGCTGTGCACCCCTCCTGTGGCCCGTTTTTGGTCCCAGGAGGCGGCAGGGAGGCCTACTAGGCCCAAAACAAGGCGCAGGGAGGTGCGCCACCCCCCCTGCCTGTTTTTGGACCCAGGAGGCGGCAGGGAGGCCTACTAGGCCCAAAACAGGGCGCAGGGAGGTGCGTCACCCCCCCTGCCTGTTTTTGGACCCAGGAGGCTGCAGGCAGGCCTACTAGGCCCAAAACAGGCAACAGGGAGGTGCGCCACCCCACCCCTTGCCTGTTTTTGGACCCAGGAGGCTGCAGGGAGGCCTACTAGGTCCAAAACAGGCAACGGGGAGGTGCGCCACCCCTTTGCCTGTTTTTGGACCCAGGAGGCGGCAGGCAGGCCTACTAGGCCCAAAACAGGCAACGGGGGGGGGGTGCGCCACCCCTTTGCCTGTTTTTGGACCCAGGAGGCTGCAGGCAGGCCTACTAAGCCCAAAACAGGGCGTGGGGAGGTCCGCCACCCCCTGCCTGTTTTTGGACCCAGGAGGCTGCAGGGAGGCCTTGTAGGCCCAAAATGGGGTGCGGGGGGGGGGGTGTTGCACATGCATTGCATTATGGGTGTGGGCGCTCGCTCTCAGCATGCGATGCCAAAAAGGTTAGCCATCACTGCCCTAGGCCTAGAATGGAAATGTTTCTCTCCAAGTTCACAGTTTCTCTTTGAGAGGGAAAGGCTCCAAATATTCAAAGGAGGACCAAGCCTTTTCTTCATTGTAGTGGCAGAACTGAAATCACACTCTTTCTCCAAAATGGCAGCATTTAGCACTGCTAGAAGGAAGAACCTCAGTTGGCGAAAAGTTTGATGACATTTGATGAAAGGTGTGATTGCGTGCAGCCATAATTGGTTGGTTGAGAAAATCTCTGTGTGCAAATGCTGATTGTACAAAAGGAAGGAGTTTATGCGGTTGGGAAGTTGACTAATTTCCTATTGTTTCCTGAGCATTTCTGTTATGTATTGTATATAGTGTACAAAGTGTCAGTTGAAGTTCTCAGTCTGGTCCTCTGTTGGAGCGGGAAAATACTCTCTCCTGATTGGTTGTTTGGCTGACCAGTTTCCTATAAAAGGAGCTCTGTCAGGTAGGGAGTTCAGTTGCCTCGCAGGCAGTATTGAATAAAGAGCTGTTGGAAATCACTCTGGGCTCACCTCCATTCTTCACCCAGAACTTAACAGTTCCCATACCAGTAGAAAATAGAAAACAAAGAAGCTGAGATGTCAGGATTCAAACAGTTGGGCACCTGTTGCATAACAGCGAAGTCCATAGCAATAGCAATAGCAATAGCAATAGCAA